GGATTTGCTCGAACTCGAAGTAAAGCTAGCCCTTAGGCTTCGTAGATAGTCCCGGAATAAAAGTTTTCTCGAACTCGGGTTAAGATAGCCCTTGGGCTTTTGTATTTGTTACGAATTTCGAACACCCCGTTCCGCATTAATTTGGCCTTAGACTTTTTAGTTTAGAACTTGCCCTTTGGGCTTATCTTCCTTTTTACTTCGAGCTTGACCGAAGAATCAGTCCCCGAGTGGGGTGGCCGTGGCCAGTAAAATCGAGGATTGCCTTTAAGGTCTTATGGTCCCGAAATGTTAGTAGTTTGAACCTCCGTTGTGATCGGACCTTAAGCCTATTTACATAATAAAGCAAGAGTACAAAATAGAAATTTTTTCTAGAAGCATGAGATATCGACAAGGAAATATACTTCTCTCAATAGGCGATTATACATACACGCATGTTTGATGTTAGGGCTCGAGTAACCTATATGGGCATAGCTCTTCTGACCGTTTGACCCTTACAACATTTTCCTATCGAGGCCCCATTGTCATGAAATAATTTCCTTGCAACAAAGCAGACATTCGAGGGTAATGCCTCCCACATCTCGAGGCTTATCTCAGGGAACCTCGGATACCGTTGAACTACCCTAAGTCAGTACGAACAATAATTGCCTCGTTAAAACCCTTGTCGAAAAAACCCATTTGGGATAAAAACCGGTCTAAGTGAAAAAGGGTGCAATGCATACTTTAAGATTCAAAGCTTCGTGCCGATCCTTGTTGATAGCCTACAAGTGTTAGTTGGAAAAATAGAGAGAATCGGGATAGGATCGTACCTTTATTAGAATTTTGGATATTTAATGTGATCTTCCTCGGCATCTGGCCCTCATGAGTTTTGACCTCGACCATTTCTCCTCTCATTTTGTGTGAAGCTTCGCCCAGACCCGCTGCCTCTATAGTCTCCGTTGTACGGTTGATATCGATCTCTATTCGACCTCGACTCTCGGTCGACGTCCCCTTTGATCCTACCCATGGGCCTGCTAGGATAAATGGACCGTTAAGGAGTCCCCAATTGATCATCTTCGGCTCTAATCTTCGACTGGTACCGATTATGTACGTCGGCCCAAGTGACAGCCCGGTACTCGAGCAAACTTTGCTTCAACTGATGTGAAGCTATAGAACTCCGAGTGTTGAGACCTTGAGTGAAAGTTTGAACGGCCCAGTCATCGGTGACCAAAGGCAAATCCATTCTCTTTGCTTGGAACCGAGATACGAATTCCCTAAGCATCTCATTTTCTTTCTGCCTTACCTTGAAAAGGTGTGACTTCCTCGTTGCAATTCTAATGGCTCCGGTGTGTGCTTTCATAAAAGGATCTGCAAGCATAGAAAACGAATCAATAGAATTAGGGGGTAAGTTATGATGCCTTATCAAGGCACCCTTGGATAGCGTCTCCCCGAACTTCTTCAGCAGTACGAATTCGATTTCGTCATCTTCCAAGTCGTTTCCTTTGATGGAGCACGTATATGAGGTGACGTATTCATTCAGATCGGTCGTCCCGTTATACTTGGGAATCTCGGGGATATGGAACTTCTTGGGAATTGGCTTTGGAGACGCACTAGGGGGAAGGGTCTTTGCACGAACTATTTAGAATCTAGTCCTTCTAAGATCGGGGGTACCCCCGGTATTTGATCAACACGGGAGTTATAAGTCTTCATTTTTTTGTTATTATCCTCGATCTTCTTCTCCCCGGACTCAATTCTCTTGGTGAGTTCCTCGAGCATTCTTATAATTGTGGGGTCAGTCCCCGAGCCATTACCGTTTGATCCATCTGGCACCGGCTCAGTACATCGAGTGTTCCTTGGTTCGACCACACTTGGAGTTTTATTCTGACTTTGAAGTTGAACGATGACAATCTGTTGAGCTTGTAGTATCTCGAATATTACTTGGAGGCTGATTCCCCTGTCTTCTATACCCTGTGTTCCCTGGCCACCATATCTGACTTCACTACGTACACTTCCCCCGGGGTCTACGCCTAAATCTACATTTAAAGCAATGTCTGAACTAACATCGATTAGTTCTACATTTGGCACTTCTCCATGGTTAATCGGTGGTACACCGGCTCCCAGAGCAGCTACATTTTTGTTTTCCCATGAAATCCAAGACTGTCATCGCCGTGCACGAGAGCGTTTTGTGAGTTTGACATGTTTTAACCTGAAAACAAAGAATCTTTGACAAGAACAAGTGTAAAAATAACGTGTGTTATCAGAATCAGTACTGAAATAACCACTATCATCTTTGCCCCACGGTGGGCGCCAAACTGTTTAGCTCGAAAATACGAGTAACAATTAAATTTGATTTGTGATTTTAAAGATATATGATTTAGTTCAATACCAACTAATAATCAAGAAATATAAAGTAGAAATGAAAGAGACAAGTGAATTAAACCAATGTTACTTAGCAGTGGTGACCTCGAGCTTAGTGACCTCGAGGTGGGCTTAGAACAGTAAGAAAAGTAAAGTATGAACAGTAGAGCCAAAGGATGATTCTGATGAACGGTAGGCAAAAAGTAGAGATAGTCCCGATCGGGCTCTAACTCGCCCTCGCCCTCGAGCCCACAGAATTGGGTAGCCCCGATTTCTACCGTATACAGATAGTCCCCGTGTTTCTTAGAGTATAACGACATGAAACGAATTGAGTCATTGATCTTTATCCCGATTTGCCACGATATCATCATCGTGACGTAAGCGACTAAGAAAACGAGATCTTGGAAGTTGGCCTTTCTCGAGGAAAACTCCGAGAACTTTTAGTGAGTCCGACGGCGGGAAACGTTCTGAGGGCGAAGACACTTCTGGCGATAAGGTCCGTGTCGTTTGGGTTTCGTGCCCTTAGTAATTTTTTGCTTTTGAGACTTATCGGCCCTTGCGAGGAACTCTTGATCGTGACCTATAGCTCTTGTAAAAAAGGTTTATACAAAGCCTTTTTCCGTCCATGGCTTCTGAATGTGTTACCCTTTTGTGCGGGTCAAAGCGCCTTATCATAAAATTCCTTTTGAATGTCCAAACTTTGAGATGGTAATGTCCGATAATAAGTTCTGCCCTCGAACGTTTCTGGTCAATGGTCCCCGAATGATCATTCGAATTTGAGTATGGGTAGCTCTTAGTCTCAATAGTCGATGTGGTAAGATAGCCCTTGGGCTTGATAGTTGAGTGAGTGCACGCTCGAACTTGAAATGAAAAATAGCCCTTAGGCCTTATGGCCAAGTGAGGACATGCTCGAACTTGAGATGAGGTGGCCCTTGGGCTCGAAAGATAGTCCCCGAGTGAGAATTTTCTCGAACTCGGGTAGCCCTTGGGCTCGAAAGATAGCCAGTATATTATGCCGGAGTATTTCCCGGATTTTGAAGAGTGTTTTTATTCAAATTTATTTTTACATGAAAATGGCTAAATTTCGATTACTTTTGAAACTATGACTATTTTTGAATGACTATTTGTAAATCTGGCTATTTTTGAATTTCTCCCATAATTATTGGCAAGTCGTGTCTATTTGTGCCTATTCCTGTAATTTTCTCTTATTTGTTTGTGTTGTTGGTCCTCTCTCTTCCGTTTAGTCTTGAGGCATATTTGATAAAAAAATATAGCGGCATGGTCAGTCCCCTTTCCCTGTTTGTTCAAGGGAAAAAGTCTAAATCGATGGACTCGAACTATTAACTATTGTTTACTTTTGCCCTTCGTCATTGGCAACAAAAATGCACAATCACTCTTGCCATTTCAATTTCTGCTGCTTCTATAAACTTTTTCGACCAATGCGGACATATAGAAAGTTCCCCCATTATCAATTTATCGGAGGTGGCGGGGGAAAGGGACGCCTGGGATTTGAAGTTCCTTGAACAGGAAACAAAGACCGGGATTAAAAACAGGTGAGTTTGAGTTAATGAGTTTGAAATCTGTTTAAATGTGGGGTTGCTAGGTTTTGTCTTTTTCTCTTTCTATTCATTTACAGTAATTGAGTGTTCAAACACCGTCCTAACTTAGATTTTAATGTTTATTCGAGTCTTGGAAGAAAATACTAACCTAATAATTAAATGACTTATTTGATAAAGAAAAGCCCACATTTTGATTAGTTAAATTAATTTAAACTTTTCAAAATTTATGAAAAGTTGTATGGACTCCTAAAATGAATAGCAGAGGTGAAGTGAAGAAAATATCATTTAATAGTTAGTGCGACATTAAGAACTTGTTAGTCGCTCTTATTCAATTTGCATCAATTCAGTAAATGCATGACCTTTTGCCTTTGTATTAATTGTTGTCACTTAATCATGATGAATTAATGTGTTTTCCTACATCAAATTATAACTTAACCATAGTAAATCAATGTGGTTTGATACAAACAGGTGCAGGTAAGTTTTTTCCATGTTGCCATTTTGACAGCTAGATCAAAGTTCAGTTCGCTAAAAGATAGGCTTCATAATCATACATCAAAGTATTTAAAGAAATCTGGAATAAAAGTACTGATAGTTATAATTATTATTATTAGTTCTTTTTTAAAGTTAGAGCTTGAAGTAGTCGCACTAAAGAAAAGCTCATGGAATCACATTTAACTAAAGGTAACAGAAGGAGGATAATACTTATAATTGCTTTTTAGCTTTCTAAATGGGTTCATAATGTTCTTGGAATGTAGAGAGGAGGAAAATACTTACCTACTAGAGGAGTATATTTTGTTTGGTTTCTTTCCTACTCCTTATGATTTATGGGAATGAAAAGGATATAGTGAATGAAGTTTTCCATTATATGGATTATTGACACATTTGGTTAACTAATTAAATGTTTGTATCACAAATTGTGATTTTTATATTTAATTTTATTTTGTATAATATTGGATTGCAATGATCTTAAATGGAGTGACATGGTCATAGAGGATTAGTATAGCCGGCCCTAACTTTCTTGAAATTGAAGAGTAGTTGTTTTTGTGACAAATTGAGATTTCGGTCAGGATAAGGCTCAACAAGGTTCATAATTTTTTGTGATTGCAGGTGGTTGTGGAGCTTGTGTTGTTCTAGTCTCAAGGTATGATCCCAAGCTAAACAGAGTTGACGATTTTAGTGTGAGTTCATGCCTTACACTTCTTTGTAGTTTAAATGGTTGTGCAATTACTACAAGTGATGGCCTTGGTAACACCAAAGATGGGTTTCACCCAATTCACCAAAGATTTGCTGGTTTCCATGCTTCTCAATGTGGCTTTTGCACTCCTGGAATGTGCATGTCATTATTCTCAGCTCTTGTCAATGCTGATAAAGGGAACCATCAAGATTCTCCACAAGGATTTTCCAACCTAACTTCATTTGAAGCTGAAAAATCCATACAAGGGAACCTTTGTCGCTGCACTGGATACCGGCCCATTGCTGATGTCTGCAAGAGTTTTGCTTCTGATGTTGATATAGAGGATTTGGGACTCAATACCTTTTGGCAAAATGGAGATACCAGGGAAACAAAAGTAAGTAAATTGCCTCCCTATGATCCAAGTAAGAATCTTGTTACATATCCTGAATTCTTGGAAGGTGAATCCATCACACGTTTGGACCCCACAAGGTATTCTTGGTTCAGTCCTGTTTCTATAGAGGAGCTACAGAGCTTGTTGAAATTCAGCGTGGCTGAAAATGTTGGGAGCGTTAAAATAGTTGTTGGCAATACCGGCACTGGTTATTACAAGGAAACACAGCGATATGACCAATACATCGATCTGAGGTATATTCCTGAACTTTCGATCCTCAATAGGGATCGCAAAGGAATTGAGATTGGAGCAACTGTGACCATCTCTAAACTTATTTCATTCCTGAATGAGGGAACCAAAGCCAACTTGGGTTCATATGGAAAGATGGTGTCCCAAAAGTTGGCTCAACACTTGGAAAAGGTTGCTAACCCGTTTGTTAGAAACACTGCTAGTGTTGGGGGAAATTTGGTTATGGCACAGAAATATGGATTTCCTTCTGATATCTCTACATTATTTCTAGGAATGGATGCGACAGTTAGTATATTGACCATTCGTGGACAAGAAAAACTTAAATGGGAGGAGCTGTTATCGAGGCCAGCGCTAGACTCAAGGACTGTGCTTCTATGTGTATGGATCCCATTTAAAAGGAATGGGAATTTTCTTCAAAATTTTTCAAAGTATTTGTTTGTAACATATAGAGCTGCACCACGACCTCTTGGAAGTGCATTGGCATATGTAAATGCTGCTTTCTTAGCTGATGTTTCTCCACGCAGGAACGGGGTTGTGATACATTCTCTCAGGTTGGCTTTTGGCGCTTTTGGCACAAGACATGCAATAAGGGCCAAAACAGCAGAGAAATATTTAACTGGGAAAATATTGAACATCAAAATTCTGTATGAAGCAATTAAATTTGTCAAACTAGATGTTGTCCCTGAACCTGGGATTTCATACCCTGAGTATAGGTCAAGCTTGGCTGTCAGTTTCCTATTCAAGTTTTTTAATCCCTTGACGGATGTAGATTCCGTATTTTCTAGCGGTTTATTCGAGGGAATTGGTGAAACCTTTGTAGAGGAGGGTTCCAAAAGTACTAATGATGATGGTGATACTAGCCAAGGAAAAATACAGACAATACTATCATCCGCTGAGCAGGTTGTGGAATCAAGTACCGAGTATTATCCAGTGGGTGAACCAATGCAAAAGTATGGAGCTGCCATGCAAGCCTCTGGTTTGTTCTCTCTCTCTCTGTATGTGTATAGTTCATCTTGTGCATTTTAAGCCCAATTATCAATTACTGTATTATCCTCTGTTCCTACTTCCCTGGCTTTGACAATGTTTAAGTTTGGAGATGTAGTGGTTATGACAAAGGCCTAGAGTATTAGAATCGTTACATTTTCTCATGCACTAGAAATAGTTGAATACTTTTCTTATTCTCTATATTTGAGATGTTTGGGACTGAGGCATAGTAGTAGTTGTTGTATATTCTAGGCAAAATACATACTTAACCCATCAACCTTGTAGCGAAATTCCTGTTACACATCTCTCATTCACGAGAAATCTTTTACACACTCAACCTTTCAAAAGTGTGTCTAAGACACACTACTTTTGACCAGGTAGCACTCACGTGTTTACGCACAAAAAACACGCGTGAAGCCCATAAAAATCCCATATTTTGTCTCCCCTCCCCACAGGAACCCCTCCGCTGGTCTTCTTCCTCAGACCACTCTCCCCCTCATCTTCTTTCCCACGTAAATTTTTTGAAAGAACATAAAATTTTCAGATCTAAAAATTGAGTGCTTTTTGTTAGTGTATTATCCAAATATTGTGAAAATTATTTATTTGTGATAGATTTAAAAGCTTTAACAATAGTATTGAAGGTTTGGTAAAAAAAATCTAGAATTCATCATTGTTGGGGTATTGAAAAAGCTTGAAAATTTAATTGGGTCTTGTTGATTATTTGGGGGTTGAACTCAATTTGTTGCTCGGTTTTTTTCGGTTAGTTGTTTAGATTGTATGGTTAAATTTTGGTGATGTTGGAAAATTTCTCACAAACAACCATGGTGGCGGCAACAATGGTGCTTAAGATAGAAAATGGGAAGATGGGGTTTAATTGTAATTTCTAATGTTTCTTTTTCCTTTCTAAAGTCAATGACATACGTCACGATTCTATTAGGGCGTGACTTTCTCGTTATCTGAAAAATTGGTCAAGCACAAAAGTGGTGTGTCTTAGACACACTTTTGAAAGGTTGAGTGGGTAAAAAGTTTCCCGTGAACGAGAAATGTGTAGCAGAGATTTCGCTGCAAGATAGATGGGTAAACTATGTATTTTGCCTATATTCTACAATACAAATCAATAGAAATCTGTATTTTGAGATGGTGCCAAGTCTCTGATAATAACACGACGTTAATGACCAATGTCTATGGATAGATGGCTTTAAGTTTCTCCAATAAATGAAAATGTTGCTGGCACGTCCTTGACACGTACAAACTAAAAAAAAGGGAAGCTTCCTGTCTCTTTGTTTCTTCATAAATGTCCATTGTATTCCATTCTACAATCATTGAGCATATTGTTCTCAAATTTGAAAACTAACGCTAAATGACTATCTCCAATATTCCGGATGGAATCTAGAAGAACTTGTTCAAAGTAAATCTTCAAAAGGATAAAGGAAATATGTTATTATGTCTCTGGTATTTGCATAAAACTACTGTTAGTTAATGTTAGTGTTCGTTGGCCTTAGGTACAACTATAACGCTGCATGGAGACATTCTTTGGTACTAATACATATTCATCAGAACTTGTTTCTGGTTATTAATGTCATCATTTCTCTGTCCTTTATTTACTTTCATATTTGAAACACGGCTTAAACTGCTATGTTTCGAGATGACTGTTATTTTCTTGATCAGCAGTTGTTCTCATTGTTTCTCTTTTTTCTAGTGCCCCATCTGCGTTGTTGTCCTTTTACATTCTTTTGTTAATATACGGCTTGGTTTTTTGTAAAATTTAGAGACTTAGTTGTTATTACACCTACTTAGGTCTAATGTTTGCCACGTGTCTTTTAGTCAGATTAGAGACTTGTAGGTCAGTGCAGGGATACATGTGAAATCTAGAGATGATCTTTGGAGGAAAACTTATCTAGTATTGGAATGACGTTACCCCGAAGAGAGTAGTAATGAATATAGAGGATTTATATATCTGAACCCAACAAGTTCAGACTTGACGTATAGCCGATGATTGATATGTGTTTTGCATATTTTTCAGTTGAATTTTGTCTTAGATATAACTTTAATTTTGTTGGCTAACATTGTTCTTTTCAGGTGAAGCTGTTTATGTAGATGACATTCCATCACCACCAAACTGCCTACATGGAGCATTTATATATAGTACAAAACCATTAGCAAGGGTAAAGAGCATTAGTCTCCAGCTTGAGTCTAATTCATTAGCAGATAGAGTTATTGCCATTTTTACATTTAAAGATATCCCAAGTGAAGGGGAAAATATAGGAGTTCTGAGCCAGTTTGGTCCTGAAACTCTATTTGCAGAGGATCATGTCCAATATGCTGGCGACCGAATTGCTCTTGTGGTAAGCCATCATTTCAATGTTCTATCTGCAGGATTGGTTTTATGCAGATGCAGTGTTAATTATTCATATACTTGGTACAGAAAACTTTGAACTAGTTTATTAAGCATGTTCAGTTTTGTGATGGAATGACAGATTGCTAACAGCCAGAGGTCTGCTGATGTGGCTGCTAGAAAAGCCATTGTTGAATATGATCCAGAAAATGTAGGTTCCCCGATATTAACTGTTGAGGAGGCTGTCGAGAACTCAAGTTATCTTCAAGGGCCCGTGTTTCTGAACACAAAGCCGGTTGGTGATTTCTCGAAAGGAATGTCTGAAGCTGACCACAAGATTCTCTCTGCTGAGGTACTTTGATTAATTATCCACTTCTACATTTTTTCTTCCTGAATATTGGTCCATGCCTTTTTGAATATAGTATATTCAATTTGTAAATGCATGCTAACTGTTCAAAAGTTTAATTATTTGGTAATAATCAATCACAGTTGAGACTTCCATCAGAATACTATTTTTATATGGAGCCACAGACTAGCTTAGCAGTTCCGGATGAGGACAATACCATGGTTGTTTATGCTTCTACTCAGTTCCCCGAGTATACGCATAGTTTGATTGCTCGTTGTCTTGGTGTTCCTGAGCATAACATCAGCGTGAAAACAAGAAGGGCAGGAGGTGGCTTCGGCGGCAAGGCAATAAGATCAATGCCAGTGAGTATCTATTATTAAACGAAAAAGAACCGAAGCTTGGTTTTAATTAAATAAGTCTTGAAACATTATCAGTGGTTTTTCCTGAAGTAGTATTGTGTTCCTTAATTCTTTGCTAAAAGGAAAAAGAGAAAGTTCTATAGGGAAAAGACTATTTTTAATTGCAGGCAACGACAAGTTTTTTTATAAAAAATTGTTTGATATTATTTCTACAGATATGTTATTCTTTTGAATAGAATGTCATAAAATGTAGCAGTGATTTGCAGAACGAATTAGGAAGTAATTTCCTCAGAACCAGAGACCCATTTTGCCAGGCATTACTAAAAGGGGACATGACTCCATTGTTCTAAAAGTTCACTCCCAATTTGCTTTTTCATTATTCTGTTTCCACCTTTCATAAAATAGCTTGACCAAAGTAGTTCATCTTCCTTTTTTGACTATTTCCTTTTTACTTTTCTTAATGCCGATTATAATTATTAATTTTTAATATGTTTTACCGTCACACATGTTTAATGAAATGACATTGATTAGCCTTAGAATTGTAATAGCAGATTGAAAGAGTGCCCTTTTTGCTTTTTCTTGCTACTACAATGCTCTGATTATATTTTGCATTTTGTGTGATACTTTAGGTTTCCGCAGCCTGTGCACTTGCAGCATACAAGTTACGACGCCCTGTCAAGATATACGTCAACAGAAATACCGACATGGTAATAACAGGAGGAAGACACCCCCTGAAAGTGACATACAGTATTGGATTCAAGTCAAATGGGAAGATCACAGCCTTACATGCTGATATCTTGGTAAATGGAGGGATATCAGAAGATATAACCCCTATCATAGCATCACATATAATTGCAGCACTCAAGAAATACAATTGGGGTGCCTTTTCATTTGACATAAAGAATTGCAAGACAAACCTTACCAGCAAATCATCTATGCGGGCACTTGGTGATGTCCAAGGATCTTATATTGCAGATGCTATAATGGAACATGTAGCAAGTGTACTGGAAATGGAGGTGGACTCTGTCATTAGCAAAAATATTCACACTTATGAAAGCCTTAAATTATTCTATGAGGATAGTGCAGGCGAATCAGGAGAATATACTTTGCCTAGTATCATGGATCAAGTGGCCACATCCTCGAGATTTGTCGATAGAAGAAAGATGATAGATGAATTTAACCAGAAAAACACGTGGAAGAAAAGAGGTATTTCTCGATTGCCAATTGTGCATGAAGTTAGGCAACATGCAACCCCTGCAAAAGTAAGCATTCTGCGGGATGGATCAATAGTTTGTGAAGTTGGAGGAGTTGAAATCGGCCAAGGGCTATGGACAAAGGTTAAACAGGTGATTGCCTATGCTCTTGGTTCAATTGAAAGTAGTTGGAGTGAAGAACTTGTGGAGAAGGTACGAATCATAGAAATAAACACCTTAAGGTTAGTGCAAACAGGGTTTACTGCTGAAAGCACTAAATCTGAATCAAGCTGTGAAGCGGCTAGACTTTGCTGTAATATCCTGGTGGAAAGACTGACTCCTCTGAAGAAAAAACTGCAAGAACAAAATGGTTCTGTTGATTGGACCACACTGATTGGCCAGGTTTTTCTTCTCTTTCTAATTAAAGTTCCAGCTTCCAAAGATGATGAAAACTTTAAACAGTAATAATTTCTGGAATAGACCAGCTCAATTCTGGTCCTGTCTATCACTCTTGGAATATTTGTCTGTTGTATGCTACTTTTGAAAATCATGATGAATTGGTTAAAGAGAATTACTCAATGAGTAGCTTGGGAACTATTTGTTATACATCGTCTTGCAAATGTCGAATATTTTAATGGTTCAAATTCTTAAAACGGCCTCCTTCTTTGCAGGCAGAAGCTCAATCAATAAATCTACAGGCAAATGAATATTTTGTTCCAGGATCAAGTTCTGGGCAGTATTTAAACTATGGTGCTGCTGTTAGCGAGGTAAAGCTTGTTTCTTTACTTATTTTTCTGATCAATGTGTTTGCATGATTCACTGCTTCAGATCTCTTCAAGGATTACATTTGTTCTCAATATTCATGAGTTTAAAAGAATGGCAGGACATTTCACCTCTTGGAGCTTTTAGCAACCAAGTAACCAGCTGTAACACTTACTTATGGCAAACTAACGATAAAGATGCTGATTTCTTGCAGGTTGAGATAGATGTTTTGACTGGACAACATAGAATATTGCAGTCAGATATTATATATGACTGTGGTCAGAGCTTGAATCCAGCTATTGACTTGGGACAGGTTCATCTTTTACAAGATTATTCTACCTTTTCTCTAGATATTAGCATTTATAATGAAAAAAGTGTGTCCATAACAAAGTTGTTATATGCTTTTAAGCTGCTTTTCTCTAGATTTCATATTCTTAGGACAATATGTGGTTTAGGAGTGTCAAATGGGCGGGTTGGCCTGATTTTGGGCGGGTCAAAATGGGCTGAGTCAATAAATGAGCGGGCCAATGACCCGCCCAAAAGTTGCTTCGGCTGAGATGGGCAGGGTCAAAATGGGCTAAATTTTGGGTCATAGCCTAACCCACCCAACTTTTATCAAGCTTAATGTGTGCTGTTTTCATATGAGTTGTTTAATTACCAAAATAATACTATTTTTCTTTTGTTGTGGTCATATATAACATATCAAACAAAAAAGAATTATTTTAAAGATATTTTAGCAAACTTGCGCATGGATCAATTTGGGCTAAAAATCAGTCTAACTTTAGATGGGCTAGGTCAAGATTGGCTGAGTTCAGCAATGGGCGGGTCAATGAGGGGCCCAACCTTGGGTGGGTTGAATGAGTTTGGGCTTAAATTGCCACCCCTAATTTGGTTTAAGTTGAAAAAAAATAATACTAGTATTTTTGAGTGTTGCAGTTGCAAAAGAGTACTTCGAAAGTTGTGTTTGGGCATGAATGTCACGTGGGAAAAAAGTTAATGTTTTGTGAGTGAAATCATTAACTTCACTTGAAATATTTCTCAAACAAAATTTTCAATGTTCACCAGTACTGATGGCCAAACCGTTTTGCAAATACTGAACTTAAGTATTTGCTAATAATGAAATAATATGTATGGTCTTATTCCTTCTTGCCAGACTATGTGCTTAGAATTAACATTCTAATGCATCGCCAATACTACTTTCTTCTGTCTCTTATTTTATTTTTATTTTTGCAGATTGAAGGGGCTTTTGTAAAAGGAATTGGATATTTTATGCTTGAAGAATATCTTACAAATGAAGATGGATTAATGGTTTCAAATAGCACTTGGACATACCATATCCCGACAATTGACACCATACCAGAAAGGCTCAACATTCGTGTGCTAAACAGTGGAGATCACAAAAACCGTATTCTCTCATCTAAAGGTACAATTCTTTCTTCATTTCATCTTCTTTGCTTATTATACTGACTGCATCAGTGACTTATGAGGGATTTCTTCAACTCATTCTCCACTTGGTATAGCAGAGAAAGTTATCAACTATTTTGTGGATTATGGTCCGAATCAGCATTGCAACAGCCAACGTATAATTTCTGAATATTAGGTGAAAGAATATGTAAATGCTGATGATTAGAGTTGGAGAAAATTTCATAAGGACTTAAGACACTCGAAAACAAAAAGAACAAAATTTCCTGGATTTTGAGAAACTTAATCAACTTGAAGAATTTCTTGATAGCGCTTGAAATACTAAAGTAAACAGTCCGCTTTATATGGATTGTTGAACCTAACATGATTACTTTTTTCAGCTTCTGGTGAACCACCATTACTTCTAGCAGCTACAGTCCATTGTGCAACAAGAGCAGCCATTAAAGAAGCTAGAAAACAGCTTAAAAGTTGGGGCAAGCTTGACGAGTCCGATTCAGAATTCTATCTGGACGTTCCTGCCATAATGCCTGTTGTGAAGACAACTTGTGGCCTGGACTATGGGGAGAAATACTTGGAAACTTTGATCAGCAAACGATCCGCCTAAATGCCCCATTACCATGCATCTGAATGGTGTCCGTGTCCTGAAGTTTAAAAGTTCAAAGAAGCTTTGTTAATTTCACACTTGTAGCTGCTTATGAGATTGCATTAGAGTACAATTTACAATACAAGAGTTACTCTTGAGTTAGTATATGAAAGCAGAACTGTATACACGGTTATTTCAAATTTAAAGCTAAATTATCATATCTTGGTTATCCTTAAATTACCAGATGCCCTTGCGAGATCAGTAAACAACCTTTTTGGAAGTGACTTTGTGAAGACATCTGCAACCTGATTGTTTGTGGATTGGTTTGCAAAAATTTGATTTCTATCAACTTGATCTTGAACTAAATGGAAGTCTATTGCAACGTGTTTCATCCTGTTGTGGAAGATATGATTTTGTCTTGAGACAGATTGCTCCAATTAATGTTGTCACATAGCACCTAGAGTTTGGTATTTCTCGATGAATTACTGACTACAATTAGTGTTGAAGACCAACTCTCCGGTAGGGATAATAACAGAATTAGCGCCCTGACTTTGTCATCAAATATTATGTCAACAGAATTCAACAAAGTTAAAATCACATTAAATCCATTAATATGTTTTATATAAGCTCCACCTTTTGTCATCTTAACAATTGACGCATCGATATTCATTTAGAACATATAGCTTTTCACACATATTTGATAATTCCGTAATCAGGCATGTGATTATAGATGACAATGTGGCAGGGCAGTTGCGGTGCGGGTTTAGCCTTAACCCACAAGACTTCAACCCGCCCTGCATAGTAAAATTTTCTGTTTTCAACCCGTCCCCACAAAGCAAAATTTCCCCTTTTTCCTTTTTAAGAAATAAATGAACTAGCACAAGTTTTAATTTCTTTTCTTCTCCAGATTCTTAAATCCTTCCTATGATAGGACTCAACTCTTTATTTATTTGAAGGTAAATTTTCTTTTGTCTTATGATACAGCAGTCAGCATGATTCTTCTTCTCCTTTTTTCTACTTTCAGTGGACTTCTTTTTATACGAAGGAAACCAAACAAAAACTTGTGCTGACAAATTACAAATTTGTGTCATATAGTGCTAACTCATAAATCTGAATGCTGCACCTTTTACAACTAAGATATACTATTTTTTATTTATTTTCTTATTATAAAGATCTTCGATTTTCTCGGTATCAAAATACTTTATAGGTTAAAGTCTTTCAGTATCTTTGTTTTTTTTTGAATAAGATAAATCTATGATATAGTGCACTAGTATAACTTTGACTATTAATAACACATTATGACTGAAAAAAATTTAAATAGTGTAATTATGGGTTAATGATATAAAGAAATCTTTACTTAAAAAGATTTTAAAATAAATGAGTACAATTAAACAAGAAAATGCTTTGCAAGTTGTAACTGAAAAGTAAAAGCAGAAAAATAGAAGTAAGATGAATAATTGCTTTGTACATACTACAGTCCGGAGGAAACCCGTCGAAACCCGCCCCGCCCCGCCCTGCACCTACACCGTCCCATTGTCATCCCTACTAATGATAGTCTTCTCGTTAATAATGTTGTATGTTGCATTTTGTGTCAGCATCAACTGAATCACACCAAAAGCTTAACAATTTAATAGATCTCATTCCTCTTTAGTCATATTCTCCGATTTTATCCAGTCAGGGTTTTATGCAACTTTTTCTAGCACATGTAATCCTTTATTTATGTAACTTTTTCTAATACGTGTAGTCCTCTATCTGCATCTTTTAGAATCCAAAGTATTCGCGATTGAACTTGTCAATAATAACATTCTCTTCTTTTGACGCCATTTCGTCAAAGAAATTCTCCTATGTGAATAGTAACCATGAAAAGTATTATATGTATGAACAATATCTCAACCATATAAGATAATCAACATTCACTATTATTGGTGAACAATACTTTTAATATTATTAAATAATATTTTCACTATTAAACAATACTTTCACTATTTTGATAGTGTTAGTTTTGATTAACAATAGTATTGAACTTTCCTTATAAATAATACGCTGCAATGATATCCTTTGTCTACCAAAATCACATTACTAGGGCTCTGATACTAGTGTGACATTATTTCAATATTTTTGTATACAAATGGCTACATAAATAGTTATGTAGCTTGATCTCCTTGATGCTATGGTCAAGTGTGTAGAGCACCTACCAAATGTCTCTTTGCATGAAAAGTTTTTGATAAGTAGAAGAACACTTGTCACTTTCTTACACAATTCTTATAACTATAAATACCCACTTCCTATACCATCCAAAGATACACTAATAAATATTTTGTTCTCTCATGATTGCTAATGATTAGTAATCATCACTACAAGCCTTCTCATTTTCAATTACGCCTAGCCTTTTTTTGTCTCCAATTTCTTTTATTACTTTTGTCTTTTCTTTATCCTTATTTCAAACTTGTTGGTATTATTTAATTTTGTTGATTCCTGTATCCTCTAAATAAATAGAGGTAGTCTTGTTTAATCCTGAAAAAATATTTCACATTGCTGGAATAGTTTCTTAGGACAATGCCAATCACGACTCAAGTCAATTCGTGTTTTTCTGCTCACAAATAATATTATTACACTATTGTTGTTATTTTTTTCATGCTATTTTCCGACAATTTAAGAAGGCCAGATACATGTACGGACCCTTACAACACTTGAACTTAACTTTGTTCCAATTGAACACAAAACTATATTAATAACCATACTTATTAGGCACAACTAGCTCATAACTCGGCAGATTTTATATTAAGTGAAGCGCGTGTTATTAAGCGCAACCGACGTGGAAAGCTAACTAATTAAAAGACGCCAACTATTTTCATACGCCTCATCAAATTTTAAATTAGTCACCCCATTTAAATTAAAAGACCCGTTCATTATTTCACTCACTTTTTCTCCCCGTTAACCCCAATTGAAGAATGACGATTAGAGGTTCGAACAATCTCATAAATTCCATCAATTTCCTTTGATTCTTACTGTATTTCCAGTTTATTCTCTTCGATTTATCACTGAAATCATCTCTTGTTTCGTATGCTGTATGTTCTATGGTTATTTACGGTTGATTTGCGGAAGTTATCAATTGGGATTTGAAGATTCGAGTTGTTTTTTTTGGGGAAGACTGTCAACGACTAATGTTATTGGATTGTTTATGACTCAAGATGTATTATTTTTCCCTTTATGTAGCGTGCATTGATCAATTTTAGGGTTTTCAAAATTCTCTGTAAAGTTAGGATTTTTTTGGGGTTTCCTTTGAAATATTCTGTCAGCTTTTGGTGCTATATTTTTGGGGGTTTCTTTGAGGGAATCTTATGGATGGTTATATTATAACACACTTTCACTATAGGGGTGCATTTACCAATGATGGGGATCTATCATATATCGGTTAAAAGGAACCCGACATAGTTTTTCTTATTGATAAAGATCATTTTTAATGATGGAACTGCTATTTTATACTAAAACGTTAGGGTATCCCACTGTGAAAGGATTTTAGTATAGAACCTCACTAAGTGATGACTTTTCAAGGTTGAATCTAATTCACATCTGTTAGACATTGTAAAAGACTTAATACATTGTGATTTTTTGGATTTGTATGTGCTGCATGTGGTTAATGAGCCAGAGGTGGTTGAAACTGTAGGCTAGGCAGCTTTACTAACTGGGCCAGAAGTAGGGTGAGACAAATAATATTTCAAGTGGTGCTAGAACAACAAATGATGGTGATATTAATACTCAAAGTACTACTGAGAAAGACCTAGGTAGTGAGAATGAAAACTTAGCAAATATTAATATAGAGGTAGATGAAGGATTAACTAAAGAAAATGAAAGGGTTGATGTTGATATAATTGATGAGAGTAATCAACTTGCTTAGGAAAATGTGGATGGGTCTGAAATAGATCTGGATAATAGCTCTAACTCACAAGAAGATGATATTCCTAAAGAAGATAATTCAGAGGTTAATGAAGAGTTGAGATATGTTAGAAAATAAAGAAGGAGTAAATAAAGAGTAAGGTCCAAAGAAAAAATACTGTTGCAAATAATGAAATACCTTTAGGAGAAGCTGGAATTTATAGAGGCTTTGAAGACATTGAAAGGAACAAGGTTGCTAGATATATAGGAAGGTTAGGGGGTGATGATCAGTTTATTGATAGTTCAGAGGTAGATATTGATGACAACAGAGATGAGTTAGATCCTGAAGCTGTTAGGGGTGTTGATCTACCTGCTAGAAGAAAGAGTAGTAACCTGAGGTATGATGATGATTGTGTGGTGGCTATATTTGAAGTTGAGATGATATTTGAGAATGTTGAGGAATTTAGAAAGGTTGTGTCAAAGTATGCTATTCAATACAAAGTCTAGTTGAAACTAAAACCTAATGAAAAGGAAAGAGTGAGGAAAACATGCAAAGAAAAGAGATGTAACTGGTTGTTGTATGCTGCACTTAGCAGAAATTCAGGTGACTTTATGGTGAAAAATTATCACTGTCACGACCTAATTCTCGTGATGGCACCCAACGCCGTTGCTAGGCAAGCCAATACTGAACAATCTAGTGATTTTCCGTTTTTAATAAGTTTGCTACGTAAATAACTTTCCTCATTTTAAAAGATTTAGGAAATGACAGATGTAAAATAATTAAACGAAAGCAACTGAGTGCAAATCGTAATCATAAAAATGAACCCAAAATCATAAGTCTACTAGTGTATGCCAAGACCTGGTGTCACAAGTATATGAGCATTCTAGTAGAATATATAAAAGAATACTGGTCTACTGTCTAAAATGAAATAGATAGAAAAATATGACAAAAGAAAGACTCCAGCTGCTGCAGAACGGCTCGGAAGGCAGCTCACCGTGAAGTCTTGAAGTGTAAGTCAAGCGTGCGTGCCAGACTGATATCCAGATGCACCTGCCTTAGATTTTGCATATTTAAGTGCAGAAGTGTAGCGTGAGTACATAAGCAACATGTACCTAGTAAGTATCTAGTCTAATCTCAAAGAAGTAGTGATGAGGGGTCGACTCCGACACTTACTAAGGGCCAATAATATAATAATATGAAATTCTAATTAAAGTATGATATATAGAAATGACAATAAAACTCAGAGTAAGAAATAAACGAACAATCCTTTCACCATTATCAAGAAACGAATCATTTCCCTCATTTAAAGCAAGTAATTTTTCAAGCCAATGAATTTACATCAA